TATTTTTTTATAAATGCATTTAATTTGAATGGTAAAATATATTTTTGCATTATTTGGTAATATTATGTAATTATTAAATAAAGTAAATCTGTTTTGTCTATCTTTAATGGATTTTTTTTTTACATGATATACGGACCGATACCGGTCCGTATATACGTATACGGGCCGGCATCGGTCCATATATTCCCTAAACTGCTTGTCTGTAGATAATATATACACGTATACGGGCCGGCATCGGTCCGTATATTCCCTAAACTGCTTGTCTGTAGATAATATATACGGACCGGTATCGGTCCGTATATTACCTCATAGCAGCTTCCCCTTCCCCCCGTGGGTTACATTTCGTGAATTGTAGATTTTTTTTTTGGTCTATACGGCCTTATATTCGAACCGATCCCGGTCTGTATATATATATACAGACTGGAATCGGTTCGTATATGCCCCTAAACAACAGCTTTTTATTTTATTTTTTATTTCATTATTAAATTGTTCTACTCTCGTTTAAAACCGTAACATTTCGAATGTTTGCAAACCAAAGTGGTTAACCTAAATAAAAATAATTAGTTTTATTTGCTTATGGCTCCAAAAGAGCATTACATAACATTATCTCTAATAACCTTTAACTTATATGTTCGTGGTTTTGCAACGATAATACTCCGTAGTATCGTAAGATAATTTCAGCTAGACAATCGATGGTTTTGTGGTTCCAAGGGACTGTAGGGTCGATGTACATGCAATTGGTTTTCGCAGGAATGGATTTAGAACACGAGAAAATGGTAATGTCCTTAAATGAAAAGAATAAAAATGTGCACTGGAAGAAGTTTCTGGATTTTTTTCTACTATATTCGGACCAAAATCGGTCTGAAAAATGAAAAAGCATGAAAGCTTCTGGATTCTTTGCATATATTCAGACCAATACCGATCCGTATATATTCATACTTAATTTAATTTAGCTTTAAGATAAAAAAATCCCACGGATTGCCTATATTCGGACTGATACCGGTCCATATATCTCTATACAGACCGGGATCGGTCCGTATATTCCAATGAACAACAGCTTTTATTTTTTTTTGTTATTTCATGCTTAAGTTGTTCTACTCTTGTTTTAAACCGTAACATTCCGAATGTTTGCAAGCCAAAGTGGTTAACCTTAAGAAAAAAAAATGAATTTTATTTGCTTATTACTCCGAAAGAGCATTACGTAACATTATCTCTAATAACCTTTAACTTATACGTTCGTGGTTTTGCAACGATATTACTCCGTAGTATTGTAAGATAATTTCAGCTAGACAATCGATGGTTTTGTGATTCCAAGGGACTGTAGGGTCGATGTACATGCAATTGGTTTTCGCAGGAATGGATTTAAAACACGAGAAGATAGTAATGTTCTTAAATGAAAAGAATAAAAATGTGCACTGGAAGATTTTTTACGAATATATTCGGACCGAAATCGATCCGTAATTAATTTATGCGCCAAATTTTTACCGTTAATTTGAATCTTATTGATTCTGCGCTAATTTATTTATATTCAGATCGATTTCGGTCTGAATATGATTAATGCGCCAAGAATTTTCCTTAAAAAATTGAAATTTTTTCGAAAAAATTGAAATTTTTTGGTGTGGCGCGCCAATGAGGATTATACGGACCGATTTCGGTCCGTATAAGTCTTATATATATCACCACTTCTCTTCCGTTTCCTCATTTTCTCTTCTTCCTCTCTTTCTTTTCCTTTTTTCCTCTCTTTCTGCCTCTCGTCTCCTTCTTCTTTTTCTTCCTTTTTTTTTTTCTACTTCCCTTCTGCCTCTCTTCTTTTCTCTCTTCCCTTTTCTTTCTCATTTCCTTCTATTTCCTTTTCTTTCCTCTCTTTTTTCTCTCCACTTCTTCATCTTTTCTTTCCAGTTTTTTTTTTTTTTCAGTTTTCTCAAATGTATATTTTAAAATTTTTTGTTATCTTTTTTGTATTGGTTTATTTTTATTTTTTTATAATATACTAACTTTTGTTTCTTTTTTTTTTTGTAGGTTACATTTGGTGAATTTTAAAATTTTTCATATATATATGTTTATTCTATTTCATTTTTCAATTTTCTTTTATATTTATATATATTTT